TATATGTATATATGTATATATATGTATATATACGTATATGTATATATATATGTATATACTCAAATAAACTACTTGCTATTTGTACTACTATCCCTACTTTGTGGTTTTTCACTTATCATGGGGCTTCAGGGTACGGATCCCCTGCGATAAACAAGGGACTACTGTATATTAGAATTACGGTAAAATTCTGTTACACAATATATATGAGAATAAAATAGTAAAACTTAAGGTGTACCTTCACTAGAAGACTCCGCCTCTCTGCGCCTCTGCTCCTCTTCCTGCAGTTGTTTGGCCATTTCCTTAAAAAAAAATTACCATACCGATTTTAAAGGATTTCTAAAATAACCACAAGTTATTTATACAAGGTTATTCAATATAATATCAAGCTAAGCAAGGACTGGAGAAAAAGTGTTGTGTTTTCTAGATGAATTTCTGCTTCGTAAGGTAGGTCAAAGCTCACACATGTAACCCAGAAACAGCCACACTCCAACAGCTTGTGCCACTTTCTGCTCATTCGTCTTCCATAGTTGTACATTTCCTATAGTAAAAGCAGACTACGTTCAGCGTTTTTTGAAGCTGAACTTTTTCCATTGTCATACCTCATGTCTGTGCTTTACAGCCGTCTAAACTTTGTTTTTGCTAAAAGCTGAGAGAACCGACATGTTTTGCCATGCTCCATGTTGGATGACCTTCTCAAAGGCGTTTTAAATCCTCCCATTTTTTCAATAGACTGTTCTCTTGTTGGCTTCATGCTTCCTGTCTGGTCAAACAGTTCATTAAGGCCTGCAAACACTCAGTTTTTACTGCACAATAATGTGCAGAGTTAGATTTGTGTTGGTGGTTGTTTTAAAAACAACGTAGAAATTACCTGTAAAAAACTAACCATCTACAAAATGTCCAAGTGAATGGATTTGAGTAAAATATGTGACTTATTTTTTAAATGAAAACAATGTTATGACCCCCAAAGCTTAACCAGGTGCTGAAGTCCATGCTAGAGGAAGACATACTGACAGAAGCTGGTTTTAAGGTTGCAGGACACTGCAGCAGCTTCTGAGTCCATGCTCCATTAGTCTGAAGTCACTGACTGCACAGATGGGGAAACAATGGATGGAGGTGATGTGGGGGGCAACGTACTTGAATGCCTGCTGTTCTCCTACGTCTCAAATTCTAAACTTCAAGACCTGAAATCAAGATCCGCTCACTAACAAACAGTGAATTAGACATTTAATGTGTGACATTTTAACCAGCAGATGGCCCCACAGCATTGACTGAAACTAACTTACCGAAATAAACACAAAGGAGACAACACTTTTATCTTTGGATTAACGTTTTTTAGTTTTCTTGTCCTGTTTGTTTGTTTTTATGTTACAACATTGTCCAGAGGAACAGTCTTCCCCTGCACAACCATTTATTCTCACTACTTTGTTTTCACTAAATCTTCTCAGCTCTGTAGTTTCATCTGACAAACAACAAAATAAACACCTAACTAACCTCATAAATCTAGATTAATTACATCAGTCGGTGAGATGTGAAGTACTCATTTCAAAAGACTAAATGAAAAACATTTAATAGTTTCTTTCTGAACAAAAGCAGTTTGATGGGACGGTTTCACCTGGAAAAATAGTCACAAAAGGTCACCAGAGCAGAAGAATCTTAAGTGGGAGAAGCATCACACCTCTGTGCTGCATAATTAGGCTCTCCATAAATCAGCACATTCTATCAGAACTGATGAAATATCTCTCTGTGGACTTTATTTGCAAAATAAATCATAACACAAAGCAAGCACAGCTCCTTTTGTCTGCAATCAGATCCACTTTGCCAGCATCAGCACACAATTAGCAGTTTGCCATGACAGGTTAGCTGTTCAGAGCCACGGGGATCTGGCATTTAAAAGCACACAGCATGACACCTTCTGTTCCCTAATTAAAGACGGTCTACAGGGAGACAAATATTTATTCAACACATCAAATCAGCCACTCATTAGGGAAGGTATAGGCATTACAGAAGCACTAATAGTTCATTTGATCTTAAAATGAACATAAATACATCTCTGCAGGTGCAAGACAAAACAAGACGTTGTTAAAAATATCACTTGTTCTCTAATAACAGCATGCATTCTGGGTGTCTAAGGTCAGAACCAAACACTGTTTGCAGTTGCCTGTTAAAAAAATCCACCAGTAACCATTAGATATTTGCACAGTGTAAACTTCTCGTGCATAATAAACCATTTTCTTATCTTCATCTCTTCTTCACTTCAACTTTAAATCGTGCTAACTTTGCCGCAACAAAGAACAACTCAAACACACCCTTCACTGGTCTGTTCTGTTGTTACCCAGAACTTCTTGTAAACATCAAAGTTCATGCTCAATAATCCAGGTAGAAAATCCAACAATGTTCAGTCAGGTCATCTGGACGGTTTCTTGTTTTTGTGCCGAGACGTTTCGTCCTTCATCCAAAAGGACTTCCTCAACCTGAGAAGCCACCATACAAAACTAATTCCCAGTAACAGCATACTGAGTAGTGGAAAAACAACAGTTTGCTGGTACTAAGACGGTGCTAAGATTCTTGTAAACAGTTTTATGAGCTAAAAACTCTCCAACACC